GAGGGAGGGAATCCTCGTTAGGTATAGGGGATGTTGGGGGGGGGGTTAGCGAGGAGCAGGAGGGCTCTTTCCCCCCAGTGTCGCCCCGAGGGTGGGGGAGAGGGTGCTGGAGAACCCCGGGAAGGTGGGGGCGAGGGGTGAGGGGAGGGGGAAGGCAAAAGAGCACCAAGAGGAAGGACCGAGAGGACGTAGGTTTCCTGAGGGTGAGAAATATTAGAGAATTGGTGGTCGGAGCGGGGCTCGGATGATGGGGAGGTGTGACCCAAGAAGGGCCGTACTCCATAGGTTCGTATGTGCTGCATGGCTAGGTTACTTGGCGAGGGACGAGGTTGAGAGAATTTTGCGGTACGGGGCTTCATTGGGCCATCGGGGTGAGAGGGCCAGCCACTCCGGTCTAGGAACGGTAAGGGAGAGCCGCGCGGGCTACCTCCCTCCCCTTGCGGACGTTTGGAGGACCTAGGGGTGTGTGCATCGTGGCAGAGTATTCACGTTCGAGGTTTCGGCTGTCAGTCCCTCAGGCCTCGTACGCTGGTCTGGTCTGGTGACACCGCTGCATTTGGCAGTTGAAGGTCCTGGGTTTGATGTTTTATCCCTGGGCAGGTAATAGGTCAACTTAGGGTTACTGCCGAGGTGTGGAGCTGAGGTCTAGTTGATGGACTGAGTTTCGCATGCTGAAGTGATGGTATCGCTGACCAGTCTCTACGGATGTCGGATGACTGGATGAGGAGGGGTCCAGCTAGCAGGGGCCTAAACAAACCGTCGCCGGTTGTAAGGTGGAATCAACTTTCATTATATTGTAGTCCATGGCCTCCCCCCGCACTTGTAACTTGTGACTTTTTACGCTGCCTCTCTAGTTGGTTGCATCTCCCCTGGACCCACCTAGGTGGGGAAAGGTGGAGGAGGTCAGTAGTCTTAGGGTCCTGTGGCTTCTAGCTCTCTGCACCTTTCCTTTTGGAGGCTGTGGTGCGTGTTGCGTTTCACGTTGCGTGGCAGGAGATCTCCCTGACCAGGACGCCGCGGCCGTTTCCCTGTTCAGGATTTTCTTTTGAGTGGGAGGGGTGGAACTTCAGAGAGGCTCTGACCTGAGTGAGTGTTGTGGAGGCGTTCAGGCGGGGAACCCTGAGAGCCCCCGTCGTGTTTTCACTGCAGTCACTTTCCTTTCCTTCCCCGGACGAAGGCGCTGCTGATCGGTGCGATCCACATCTGTATCTCTTGTACCTTCATTACTTTACATTAATTACCCACACCACCCACATCACACTACCAGCAGCACCAGCAGCCGCGATAGTGGTAGCAGTGGTAGTAGTAGTAGTGCCATAACCGTTGATGCCCAGGAAACTGTCCACCATGTCCACCACCAGCACCAGCACCAGCACCAGCACCAGCACCAGCACCACCGTCGCCACCACCAGCACCAGTACCACCATCCCCACCACCATCGCACCACCACCACCACCACCACCACCACCACCACCACAACCACCACCACCACCACTAACGCACCGCAGTAAAGAGTCACAAAACCACCCACCCGGCTGTCACCCCCTCACCGCAGATGCACACACACACACACACACACACTTCCCGGACCACACAGGAGACCACGCTCCACCCCCGGGAGCACCTCCTGGCCGTACAGGTCTCACCCTCCTCCCCACCGTCCTCCGTCCTCCGCTACCGCACCTCCCGCCCGCCCGCCCTCCCTCACCCCCCTCATCATCACTTCCACACCACGTTTCCAAAGTACTGCAGCGCGGCCACCCCCCGCACCTCCAGGTCGCACAGGGGCCCGGTGATGCGCTGCAGGGAGGACAGCCCCTCGGGCCCCGAGTCCGCGGCCAGGTGCGCCAGGGCTCGGGCCTGGTCGGCACGGCGGGCGGACAGGAACTTGTCGGTGGCGGTAGCCTGTACGACCTGCGCACACGGGGGTCGGGTTTTGCACGGCGCGGGGTGAGGGGGGGGGAATTGGGAGGAATTGATTTTTATTACCCCGCACTCCCGCATATCCTTCTCTCTATCGCTCTTCCCCCCCAGGGTCCCATCCCCCCCCCTGTGCTCCGTCAACCCCCCGACCTCCCCCCGATGTCGCCTGCTCCCGCCCTCCCGGCCTCACCTGGTTGACGATGATGGTTCTTAGGGGTATCCCCTCGTGTTGCAGAGCCGCTGCCAGCCTGGCGGTCGGGTGGGGGGAGGTGTGTGTGTGTGTGTGTAGGGAGGGGGCCCAACGGGAAGGAGAGGGGGCCCCGTCCGTCTAGGGGGAATGCGGCGGACGGAATTCTACGTATTGCAGCAGCAGCAGCACGTAGTAGTATAGTAGTTGTAGTAGTATAGTAGTTGTAGTAGTATAGTGGTAATACACGTAAAACATTCGCTGGCGTCGCCTACAATGCATTTGTGGGGTATGGGGCGGTGAGGAGGGTGTAAAGGACCACTGAATGAGAACACCCGCCACATCACTACCGCCAAAAAACCCCATCCCCCCCAACCCGCATGGATGGGCAGCACCCCCCATTCGCCCAGCGGTGCGGCCCCTCCCCCTCCCCTCCCCTCCCCTCCCCTCCCCCGGCCCCCCTCCCTCCTCCCCCGGCCCCCCTCCTCCTCCCTCCCTCCCGCCCCCACCTGCAGCTCTCCGCAGTTGCCATGACGGTGGGAATGGTCACAATGATGAACTCGGTGGTCAGCTGGTTTCGGAATAACTGCCGGGCCTCCTCCATGCGGGCCTTACGGGAGGGGAGTAAGGAGGGGATGGACGGAGGGGGAAAACGGAAAGCCGGCGGGTGACTACCGTGTCGTACAACCGAGCTGAATGGCCCTAGCGAACCTATTGCCGTACCCTACGAACACACGTACGGCTGCAACCGTCAAGGGAGAAATAACCCGGTGAACCGTACACACATCCGTACACACAGACCTGATTGATAGACCTAGTTTCAAGTGCTAGATTGGTGGTAATTGCTCCACCCCTCTGTCTACGCAGATATGGCACAGGCATACATACACACATCAGCCCCAACCGCACCTGATACATAGGGAAGCATGAACGGTGTTCTTACCCCCTATCCCCACCTCCTTATCCCCCGTCCCGGGGCTAACTAACTAACTGCCGCCGGGTAGCGGTAACGGGATCCCTCCCTAACCCCCACCACAACCCTCACCACAACCCCCACCACACCCACCTGCAGTTGCTCCAGTCTCTTCACCGCCACGTCCTCCTCTCCCCCCGCTCCCCCCGGGCCTCCGCCACTGAACAGGTTCTTCACGGCACGAGTGGCGCCGGACAGCTTCTGACGGAGGCGAACCAGCTTACCTTGGGGGGAAGGAGGGAGGGGGAAGGGAGGAGGGATGCGACCGACCGGGACCAGAAAGGGACCAGAAAGGGATACGGCACTGTGTGAGGGAGCGGGCCTCGGCAGGGGGAGGGTTATGATACTATTATCACTATCACGATTATCATTATTATCACTAAATATTAATATATTATATATTAATATAAAAGACGAAGGGGGCGAAACAGCAACTTTCGCGGGGCGGCGGATGTTGGCGTTACCGCCCTAGCAGACCGTCCAGGTCGTCAAAGATCCTGATCCCGACCCGGAGCCGACTGGGCGACTGACCCCACCCCATCCCACCCCCCCACCCCAACACCCCACCCCAACACCCCCACCCAACCCCCCACCCAACCCCCCACCCAACCCCCCACCCAACCCCCCACGTCAACCCCCCACCCAACCCCATCCCCCAAACCCACCGATCGACTTGTCCAGAAAGTCGGGTAGGGACAGCAGCCGCAGTGTGTGCCCGGTGGGGGCCGTGTCAAAGATGATGCGCTTGAAGTGCGAGTACTCGGGCGCCTTCAGAAACTGAACCACCTGGGGTGGGGTGGGGTGAGGGGAGGAGGTGAAGGGGGCGAGGTATGTGCGGGGAGAGGGTCCGTGTCCGTGAGGTGGCGGGGCACCACCTCATCTCTCCCCTCTGGTGGTGCAGCGGCCACCTCCGTTCGCTGTCCTCCTGGTCTGTCTGTCTGTCTGTCTGTCTGTCCGTGTACTGTCAAACCCCATATCACGACAAGTTGGGTGTCGGCTTCAAGGAAGCCGGAAAAAGGGCGGGGCCCCTCTGCATCCGTACAGGCCGGTAGCAAGGGTGGCAAGTGTGACAATGGATGGGTAGTGTCAACGCGGTGGGAGATGTGCTTTGTTGCAGCAGTGCTGATGGTGTGAGAGCTAAGCTTGCACCGGCGGAATCGTCAGCACCGCCTGCGGGCTCCACGCGAATCGCATCCATTCCGGGTGCATGCCGCATGGACAGTGCGGCAGACCGCAAGTCGGAATGCCCGTGCGGGCAAATGGTAACGAAAGCTGGGTGAATTTCGGTGCTGTCTGTGATGTTTATCCCCGAAGCGCCAGCGGCCTCAGCAATCCGCCCCACAGCCGCGGGCTTCATCGGGGCACACCGCAAGTCTCAGGAGGCCCCGTGCATTGGCCAAAGTAAATGTACAAACAAGCAGCTTGTGTATTTCATAGAGAAATGAAAGCAATGTTGGCCTGCTGGTGGCAATTCGGAATGCCCATGCCGGCAAATGGTAACACAAGCTGGGTGTTCGAGTTATCATACGCCGTCATCTCAGAATTCCATTGTGAGATACGCGGCAGCTTTCGGGATGAAATTTAGCGCGAGAGGCGTTGATGTGACTTTTGAGGTCGGTGAATGGAGGCAGCTAAACTTGTTTGTGCTCATACGGTCTTTCTTAGCTACATGCGAGATACCTTGCAATAGAGAATCCTGTATAGTACCGATAACGCGTTTCAGCCGGGTGAAATATTATGTTTGGTCCGTTACACACTCAAGGCCTGGGAGTTCGAGTTATCATACGCCGTCATCTAAGAATTCAAATATGAGATACGCGGTACCTTTTGAGATGAAATTTAGCGCGAGAGGCGTTGATGTGACTTTGGCCTCGGTCAATTGAGGCAGCCAAACTTGTTTGTGCTCTTACAATTTTTGTTGGCTACATGCGAGATACCTTGCAATAGAGAATGCTGTATAGTACCTATAACGCGTTTCAGCCAGGCGAGATATTATGTTTGGTCCGTTACAGACACACACATACACACACACACACACGGACATGGGCAATCCTACAGGTCGGGGCCCCCCTGGGCGCTTCGCGCTGGGGCCCCGCCCCAAAATGTCGTACCTTGGCAATGGCGATAGCCTCGTCAACTCCCGGAGGCGGGGTGTCCAACAGCTCACTCAGTTGGAGGTCCTTGGGGCAGCAGGGGGGGGGGCCGCAGGAGGGGGCAGGAGGAGGGGGTCGCACATGACTCAGTAGTGAGGCAGTGAGGTTAGTGACGGTCGCATCCAGTCGGCATGTGTATTCCAGGACGACCCATGGGTCACCGCGCCGTGGCAGATTGGTCCAGGGGGCCGCATCCGAGCCCTTCAAAGGGGCCCGGGTAAGTGTCCCAGCGGGCGGGCGGTGGGCGGTTCAAGGAACCCAGAATGTGCACAGGGGCCGGTAGAGGGGGGAAACGACGAACCACGAGCGAGTGAAGCTGCTGTCAGAAGGAAAGACTTATGCGGCAGAAGTAAGGAAGGCACAACTAACCAGTCGGCGGTTGTGATGGAGGAGTCCCTCGCGATAATGTAGTGATGACGACGGCGGAAACCTACCTACCTAGCCACCAAAACTAAAATAAGAGCGGAAGAAAAGCAGTAAACCCAAGCCGCAAAATAGTATAGGTAGGTGTAAGGGCGGCGAATGAACAACACACTGACGTGAGGAGCGGACGAGGTGACGTAAGCTGGTTTTAAATCTGCTCGCCGGCCCCTGGTGGCGGCGGAATTGAGGAACCCGGACAAAACTCGCTGATAAGCTGCTGGTAATAAGCTGTGCTGGTGACATGCGAGTGCTCCTCCGGAGGGACAGTAACGGGGAGAGTGCGGGGTGTGGATGGAATCAGGGTTCGACACTGACCTTCCTGAAACTTGCGGGCTCCCCCGTACCTCCCAAATTTTCCTTACGGAGGGGCCCCCGTACCAGGCTCCTGTACCGGCCGAAAACCTTACGGGGGCCCCCGTAACCCCCGCAAAACCTTTACGGGGGCACTGTCCTTGGCTGAAACACTGTGGAAAGTGACGCTTTGCATTTTTTTCCCTGTAAATCGTTATTTTCGTTATTTTCTCGTGAACCATTACACTCGGGGACACGGCACACTCAGTGAAAGCCAAGCGCCTATAAAAGTATTATGAAAAGTGTAGTTAAATATTGCAATATGAATTATGTCTGCCAAGTGTGTGGCCTTATCCTTTATATGGTCAAAGGGTACTACAACCTTGCACGGCAGTCGGCAATCGGTCCGTCCTCTCCCCTACGGGGGACTTTACGGGCCCCGTACGGCCTCTTATAAATCCTTAAAATCCTTACGGGGGCCCCCGTAATCGGCCTTCGGCCGGTCCGGGGGCGGCCCCGTACGGGGGCGCTTCGCGCCCCAAAATCCTTACGGGAGCCACTGTAAAGTCCTACGGGCCCTTACGGGGATAGCGAAAAAAGGCCAAAAACTTACGGGCCCCGTACGGGGTGTCGAACCCTGGATGGAATATGTCTGTATGTGCAGAGGCCGGCGGGGAGGTGTGTGAAGGGGGAAGTCAGCATTTGCGTGAGTGACGGCACCTGGCGCAGTCGAGCAGTCAGGCGGCTTCGTAAATTTGCCCGGCATAACCTAGCCGTGTGCGTGCGCGTGTGTGTGTGTGTGTGTGTGTGTGTGTGTGTGTGTGGCTCCTAGACCCGTTGGTCGCAGCACCCACCACTGCACCTCTGACACACATACACATACACACACGCATGCACACACATTTTCTTTCCCCCCCCTCACCTTGAGCTGATCACTGACTACTCCCAGACCTAGACTGTCAAGAACCNGCAGGGGAACGAGAGGGAGCGGAGGGAGGGGGCAAGGGGGAAGGGGGGAAAGGGGGGAAGGGGAGGTACATACATACATACATAGGTATGTATGTATGCATGTATGCATGTATGCATGTATGCATGTATGACTTAGATTACACTGTGGGCCGCGAGAGCCGGGGGGCGAAGCCGAAACACAGCGCAAGGGTCGGGAGCACACAGCACAAGTCGGTTAGTCTTGTGTGCTCCTGACCCCGACTCAGACTGCCAACACTCTACGCAGCCACTCCGCAGCGCCTCCATCCGGGGATGGCGCTGCAGTGAATACACCACGAAGGGCTCTCAGGTCCCGCTAGAGCGAGTCCACAAGTCTCAGCCAGGGCAAAGTCAAAGGTTCTCTGAAACAAATCCCCCACAACAATGTATGTATGTATGTCCCACCTCGTTCAGTTTCTTGCCACCGTCATCCGCCAACACCTCCCGCAGCTCGGCCTTTGCCTGGGGGGAAGTGGGCATGCACAATATACACACAAAAAGAGGAAGGGGGACGGGGTGCAAGAGGAGGGGTTTCAGGGAAGTTTTCCTTAACCGTGTCCCGTCCCCCTCCCCATAGAGTCATTCACACAGACCCCCGCACATGCATACATACATACATACGTGGCAACGCCGTCGCTTTTGTGCTTTCACCGGTCTATCCCGGGCTCCTGCAGTGGTGATCGGGCTTGTGTGTGGTCCCTTTTTCTTTGTATGGCTACATCTCCCCTGGACCAGCTCAGGAAGGGAGAGGTAGAGGGGATCAGTTGTTGTAAGGTGGCTGCATGACGTCTTGTGGTGTCGAGCTCTCTTAGCCTTTCTCCCTTGGAGGTTTCTTGTTGGCTTGTTAGGTGTATCAGGAGCCCTCCCCTGCCTGGGCTGCCCTAACCGTCTTTTAATTTTGTTTGTTTTTTCCCTTGGGATCCCTTTGTCTTTAGTTGTGTTGTGGGGGATTGTTTCAGAGAGCCTTTGACTTTGCCCTAGCTGAGACTTGTGGACTCGCTCTAGCGGGACCTGAGAGCCCTTCGTGGTGTATTCACTGCAGCGCCATCCCCCCCGTATGGAGGTTCTGCGGAGTGGCTGCGTAGAGTGTTGGCAGTCTGAGTCGGGGTCAGGGGCACACAAGACTAACCGACTTGTGCTGTGTGCTCCCGACCCTTGCACTGTGTTTCGGCTTCGGCCCCCGGCTCTCGCGGCCCACAGTGTAATCTAAGTCATACATGCATACATACACATACATACATACATACATACATACATACATACATACATACATACATACATACATACATACATACATACATATCCTA